TATATATATATAAAATGAAAGCAAATTTGTTATTCTATGAAATTAGTTTATTCTACTTTCCTGCATTATAAATATAAAGACGCAGCAAACACAATATCCCGTTTTATAAGTTTGATCGCCTCGCTAAATTTATTTTCTAGATCTGTATTCCCAATACCTTTTGCAGCTTGACACAATTGTCGAAGCACCTCCTCTAAACGTCGCATACACCTGATAATAGATCCTAAAATATTTGTTTTATGTACATACATATACATCACAGAAAAATGCTTCAATTTGTCATTATCTCAGTAATGAGATATGCTAATATATACATTACCTTCAAATATATCTGTCATTTTGCAAATTTGTAAAAATGTTGCGCCTTTACACCAAGCGTAGATAACATCCATTAAATATGGTTTAAATCTGTCGACATATGCATCCTCGTCTAATTCCAGATTGGCTTCTGTTGATACCTTTGCTATTCTTCGAGCCAAGTCCTGCATCTGCCTAAGTGGACCGCTTAATTCCTCTGTACTTTTAGGCATTTCGTTTGATTTTTCGTCGCATACAAAGCAGCTGATCAATGCCACCATCTGTGGCACACTCAAAGCGTTAAAAAGACCATTAAAAATCATCTCGGTCATTAATAGTTCATCAGCACCGTTCAGTTCACAAGCTACACGTCCTTTCAATTCTATAACGTCTGCCGATGTGCAATAAGCCATTCTCCTTAGAACTCTCTTTCTACATTTGAGTTCGTCCATTTGAAGTATCGACTTAGCTTGCTTAAATTCTTCCTTGGCTTGTTTAAGTTGCGCAGCCAATTCTTCTTTGTGTAAAAATTGTTCATATAGTACATTTACGTTAGGATCCTATAAATAATTATAGATTTAAAAAAATTCAGAATTACCCCATATAAAATGGAAAAAAAACATATTTAAAAAAAAATTAAAATTATATTTCACATAATAAAAATTTTTCAGAACATTTTAACATAAGATACCTTAAATATAAATATTTTAAGCACAAAAAATGTACTGCCAGAATATAGAAACTGTCTCTTACCTTATGCAAAGAATGTGCATATAATCTTTTTTCTAACGCTTCAATTTTTTTTACAATGTCTTTAAAAGCCTGATCCTCTATATGCATATCTGTAATAGGATTAAGTAACGGTGGACCGTCCGGGAATCTTTTTTTCACTTCTCGTATTGTCTTCAGTACACTCTTTCTATTATCAGGCGGTCTAAGATCTTTTGGATAATATAATCTTAATGAACTGATTTGTGAAATTAAATTATGCAAAACAGGAACTACTTCTATTTCACCCTCTTCATCTTCGCGACATGGAATTGGACTGCCTTCTTTAGAATTTTTTGATAAATGAAGCAAAATATCAATGACAATAACAGTCTTGCCTTTTACTGGATTTTTCGGATTTTTTTTCTTAAAATTCACTATGATTCCCCAATCGAACGTTTCAATTTCATTTTTTACCTACAATAATATATAACAAATGAACTCCACTAAAAGTCCCGCCAGAAATGATCTCAATTAAATTGTAAAAAATATATACTTTTACTAATCTTCCAGGTTGTAAAAACGGAACTAAATATTCCGGTTGCGTTAAAAATGATTGAAACTCTCCACTCAGTCGATTGAGTTGTTCACGTATGTCATGATACGAAGAAATCTCGTCGTACCTATCCACGTTCACAGTATTGTAAGCGATACTTAATTCCTTTACCTCTGAAAACGTAATCGAGATTAACAATTTATTTTCAGCAATTGTTTAGCCTCTATTTTACTCTTAATGATAATATCGATGTCGTTACATTGTCATTGCGCAAGTAATCTTATACATGGTAAAAAAGTTACAACAATATAATTACACTGATACAGTTGTTATGAATTCCAAAACAGAGGCTCTGACAACATTGGAATGAGCGGTGATAACTTACTGTTATATAAAACTGGAATACCAGCTTGATTCTGAAATTGGAAAAAACTTCTTTCCAACATGTATTCTGGATTAATTTCTTCCACTCGTAGAAGATTAAGAACCATATTATAAGTCAAATGAAATGCAGAATTGATTGGATCCGGTTTTCCTTGGACGATAGCTTTACCAACAACGGGACTAACTTGCTCGTCTATCATCAATATGACAATCCCTTTGTCGTCGAGACCTCTCCTGCCAGCGCGACCGGACATCTGGATGTATTCACCTGATGTGATCCAACGAAAGTCTTTGCCATCGTATTTACGAGGTGCTGTAAACAAGACTGTCCGTGCCGGCATATTCAAACCCATCGCGAATGTTTCAGTAGCAAAAAGGGCTTTAATTAAACCTTCGCCAAATAATATCTCGACAGTCTCCTTCAAAATTGGCAAGAGTCCACTGTGATGGATTCCTATTCCACGCCGCAAAAGTGGCAGCAAATTTGTAACTTGCGGTAACTTTTTGTCCTCATCGTTGAGAACATCTACCGCATTGTTAAAAACCTCATCTACTAATTTTTTCTCTTCTAATGTGTTCAAATCCAGTTTAGCCATCTGCATTGCGTAAACTTCGCAATCTTTCTTCGAAAAGCTAAAGATTATCACGGGCGCGAAGTTTCTCTCCATGATCATTTTTACCATCTTGAAAATATTTGTTTGTCCGCTGTTCGTAGCGCGTAGACCACCTTTGCGTCCTTTTGTATCACCTTTAGCTGCATCACCCATATTTTGCAGACACGCCATGGCTCTGTTAAAATTTTCTTCTTTAAATTGACCCATTTCATCTACAACCTATTTTAGAATGAGTAATTTTAGTTATAAATAAAAACAGCAGATTTTTCTTTTTTATCGAACATGACTCTTAATTAAAAATTATCACTAACCAGATGTATACCATCGCCGCCAACTGGAAATATATAATGTTGCAACGGAGTAGGTCTATAATCCGTAGAGACTACATGGCAAGGTTGACGATGCAAATGTGCTACCCATTCTGCGAATTGTCGTGCGTTTGGTATAGTAGCAGAAAGAAATACATAGTGCACATTGTCTGGCAGCAATATAAGTGTCTCTTCCCAAACTACGCCTCTCTCTTTGTCACGCATATAATGAATCTCATCGAAAATTACCCAACCAACTTCACGCATTACCTGTGCAGTAAGTATTAATTATACACTTTTATATTTTTCTTTCTATACAAGATATTCTATACCATCTTTAAAATTTTTTAAATCTATAAAATTTTATTAAATAAATATCAATCTTTGTATTAAGTAAATAATTTTCTAGAGACATTAATGTCTCATATTTGTGGAAAATATTTGTTTATATTTGTTAGTAATGTTATATTCTATTCATAATAAATTATGAAATAGAATAAAACAAACCTCTGAACCCCTATAGAGCATATTTCGCAAAATTTCAGTAGTCATAATTAATAAACTTGCTGTCGGATTTATAGTAACATCGCCTGTTACTAAACCAACATCTTTAAATTCCTCATAAAATTCTCTATATTTTTGATTACTCAACGCTTTAATTGGAGTAGTATATATTACTCTCTGTTTATCCTTAAGCGAACATGCTATTGCATATCTGTAAGATATATATATATATATATATATATATAAGATGATAGAATGTGTGAAATCATTTTAAAGAAATCGTTGAAAAACAATCTCCAAAATATGAAATATTTACTCAGCCACGACAGTTTTACCAGCCGACGTATGTGCAGAGACAAGAACTGACTGATTGTTTTCAATGCATAAAATTGCTTCCTTTTGAAATGGATCCAGTATGAATTTATACTCTTTGGCTGGCTTGCCTTGTTGATGCTCCAAAGGTACATACTCTTGATCAGGAGGAATAGCTATCTCATGCATACAAGATTCTACAGTTTCTATAGTATGCACTGTTATACGACATGCCACTTCCTCTAGACTAAAAAAATAATGTTATATATGTAGTTATAATTATATATTTTTCTGCAGAACAATTTCGGAATAATATAGATAAGTATAAATATTATTAATTATATTAATACTAATAATGTTAACTAAAATTTTATTTAAATATTCCAATCAATGTAAAATTTTACTTGATATCATTTAAAACAGAATCGTGTCGCAATTTTTTTATGGTTGCTTTGTCATCATCGACGTCAGAGTGTCGCTTTACTCCTATCTCCGGCTTGATTTTCCTGCATAATTTGTTATAAATAAGTAATCCGTAAGTCACACATGTACACATATGAGGTTAATGTTTATAGAAATTAAGTTAAATTCCGCGACAAAAATCGTTTCACATACTTTGGAATGTCTAGTATTTCTACTTCATCGCCATGCTCATCAAAAACATCAAACAAATCTTCACTAAAATTTGCCATTATTTGTTTAAAGTTATTATTTCAAACTCTAACAAAAAATATTTGACATGCATTTGCTTGCATTTGGTATTCAGTGGACAAGACAGTGTTGCCACCATTGAAAAGGACTTTGTACCAACTGATTAACAAAAAACTGTACTAGATAAAATAAAAACAGAGAACAGAAAGAAACTTGGGGCGCGATTCTGTAAATGACCTAATTTCCATTGAGGATTTAAACTGGATCAGAATGTAAGAACTAACCAATCACAGTCGAACATTCTCCTGTCGTCGACTGTAACAGAAGAATACTCAACTGTTGTAGTTGGTTGGTTCTTACATTCCGATCCGGTTTAAATCCTCGGTGAAAACTAGACCATTGTGGTTAAGAAATTTGTCACATCGACTCAAGAGTCCTAGATGTAACAGAGAAGCGCAACCGCTGTTCCGATTTCTGATTGGTTCCATTTTTTCTACGAATAGTCTTCTAGAATTCTAATTTTATCAAAGATATCGTTAGAGAGTGCTGTATATACTGTGCTGTAATTTCCAAAGAGAATCAGTATTTCTTTGTAGTCAGTAGAAACACTACTGTTATAGGAATTGCACTCTGTCGGAATGACAGATGTAAACGCAGGTCGCCATTTTTTTCTTCAGACGATTAATTATAACTTTTAAATATGCTCGATTACGCTTCTCTGTTATGTCTAGGACTCTAACTCAATGCAGCGTTATGTAGACGTATTTTAGTCTGTATTTATTTAGAATCGTTATTTCATCTCCGATTTTAATGAAATTGGGCTCATTCGATGCATTTTTATTCAAAAACGAAAGCCTGCTCTGTTCTTGCTATGTGCGAAAAATTGTAAATCCCTAAACGATGAAAGAAAGACGATTTGAATATTAATAAACAAACGTTAATATCTCAGCAAACGAGAATGGATGGAATAAATGAATTGAAATGGATTCAGATTTTCAGAAATTGATTCACGAATGTTAAAATGAATCCTTTTCAATCCTGAATGCATTTTTATTCATTTATAGGAATTGCATGGAGCATATCTCTATATCTATGCTTTTCAATCTAAAAATAATATTAGCTTTTTCTGTGCGCAACACACACATTGTGAATACTGTTCAATTCAAAATTTGGAATAGAAACTGCAATTTTTCAATCCAATTGCATCCAATTGAATCCAATTGAATTAAAAAAAAAGTATTCGCTATTTATAAAATACGCATTCGGATAGAAAAAAACTTCATTTTAATCCATGCTCGTTTGCTGGGTTCCAACTTTATTCAAATTACAAATTACAAATGATAAAGTAGCGCATTGATTGGTCCACCATGTTTCAGGAATTCCTGTCCTATATTTAAATACATATATTTGTTACTTTTAAATTTTAACAATAGAAAATTAGATATTTTAAAGATATTAACAAATAAATTTTTACATTTCATATCAGTTTTGAATCGCTCTGCTTTTTTGTTCGGAGTGATGTCTTAATCTTTCCTCGAACTTTAATATTTAATAACTCGATTCACGGGGTCTACCGCTGCGTTTTTCTATCTGATTCTTTCGTTTTAAGTGAAAACGCGTCGAATGAGACTAATTTTATCAAACTCGGAAGTGAGAAGACTAAAGTCAACAATTATCATCAGTACGTTCGCAAACACAGCCCATATCTTCTTTTACAGATCAAACATATAATAATAATAATAATAATAATGCTATACAATAATAATGCAGTTTAGGCAGAAACAAATTATTAGCAAAATAATATCAAAATAACTTCAAAATGATCATTAAAAGTCATTTTTCAATCATTTATTCTAATTCATTTTAATGCCATTTTGATGTTATCGTGACGATAATGATTGTTATTTTGTTTGGATAAGTATTAATTGTTATTAAAAATGACGTATATAATATTTAGAAAGTATTATATATTTATCAGTTGAGATAATTCAATTACAAAAGCTGTATTGAATATAAACTACAGTTACTGTGGTTATAAAAATATTTTATACAACCGACATCAAAGAGTGTAATATGTTATGTAATATTATATAAATTATTTGTCGATTATTATAAATGATTAATGTGTCAAAAGATTTTATCAATAGCTTCTTCAGACTATTAAAATATTGCAGTATATTATAAGATTATTTAAAAATGTTAAAAATAAAAATAAATCACAAGACGGTAATAATAGATAAAAATAATTAGAAAGTTATACAAGTAAATGTAATATATATATATATAAAATATCTAGAAAATATTATAAATTTATCATTTGAAACAATTCAATTATAAGTGCTTCGAACTGAATGTAAATCAGAGTTATAGTGTTTATAAAAATATCTTATAAATGATATCAAAGAGTCTAATATTATATAAATTATTTGTCATTGAGAAAAAATTAATATGTTAAAATTTTATCATTAGCTTTTCTAAACTACTAATAAAATGTTAAATATTATAAAATTGAAAAATATTAAAAATATTTAAAATAAATTATTTACAATTTGATATAATAAATAAACATATGATAAATAAACATAATCTTATTATTAAAAGTTAATATAAGCACATGTAAGTTTTGCATCAGATTATCTTTTTATTATACTTGTTTTATTGACTTCTTTCTAGGTGAATATCTTGAAAATAATTTCTTGTGAAAGTGAAATTTGTTGAAGTCAAACTTCCTTTTAACATCGTGTATGATTTTCCAAAGATATTCTCTACTATTGTCTATCAGTTTTTTAAATTCAGACAAAATTTTTGGATCTTGTTTGAAATTAGTTTGTAAGAATTTTTCCACCTAAAACAGATCAGTTCGAGATATTAAATAAATAGTAATTTATTTTTATGCAGCAATTCGATGCATTATAAGCTTTAATTTAATAATAAGATAAGTACATAATATTAAGATATATGTATAAAAAATATTAAACTCCTTAACTGTGGAAATGTACGCCATAAAATGATTGTCCTTTATTTATTTAAGAAAAACCATGAGAATCGAATGAATTTATTATAATTTACAATATAGGATGATTTTCTTGAAATTTTTCTAAACTATTTTCTATTGAATAATCGATTTAATATTAATTAGTGAACAAATATTCGATTTATATTTTATGAATTTAACATACATCGATTTTACACTTGATTTTATAATATGATTTTTCTCAAAAATATAATGCATAACCTTTATATATAAAAATACTGTTGATTATTTATATTAATTTAATTATATAAAATTATATTAATTTATAATTTCTCATGTAAAACAGTCTTTATTTAAAACTTATAAAATCCAATAATATCGTTTACAATGTTCTAACAATTTTGCAACGTGATAGCAATAACTGCTACAAGATTTTGTAGTTTTAGGGCTAAAACGATTTTGGTAAACCGATAAAACAATACTATGCAATAACTATAAATTTAGAATTATAAAATTTACCTTGTCAATTTCTTTAAAAAAATAAACATTGTCGAGAATAAGTTTTACCATTGCAGGTATACTAAGTGATCTATAAAATCAAAAAATAACATGTTAACAAATTTTTATGATTAAGAAAACAGTATAATAGACAATTACGAAGAGAAATATTGTTACTTAGGTTTTATAGCTTCAAAATTGTTTAATATGTATTTAAGGATTTTATCATTATGTGAATGCCTCTTAAGAATATATGTGAAGACATGTAAATGATCATCATTATCAAAAAATGAAGTATTGAATGCTAATATATTTAAATAGTTGATGATGATATTAGGATTTTCAGCGCAACTCAAGCCCTTCAATAATCTTTTTGGGTCCTCTTTTAGTTTTCTCTTTATATATATGTCAAACATTTTATTCCAAGTAGTGCTATTGGCTGCCATCATACCGGTACAGTACATAAATTTTTCTTCTCGTAGAATTCTAAAATAAATATTTATTAAGGAAGGATACATATATTTTATACAGTAGCCGATTTTCTATTTTATCAAATTTCGTATTTTTACGCGCACACGCGTTCCGTAATCCTGTTGCATGTTTATTAAATAATCATAAATTTGTAAAATTAAATTCTCATTCTGCGCTATTGTTTTACTCTGTAGTGTAAAACACTTGTTATACGTCATTACATAATAATACTACAATAAAGAAACAAAATGAAGAAAGATATATCGGTAGTGCAGTTTGTCATTTTATTGTACTTATATTTTTGCTCGTACGCAACATTATATTTATTATGTCATTATATCATTATTAAATATGGAGATTGATTTATATAGAAAGTGTAAGAATATTTGGTCTCGACAATTTGAAGAAATAGAGAGTCGACTATAATATATCCATATGCACGTGTATGCATGCACACACCAAATACAATTTACGAAATAATTTAGAATGTAAGATTATTACTTGTGAGTTTTGGGATTCATAACATGTCTGTTTAATTTAAGCGCGATTATTTTCTTGCATTTCTTGTTACCGAAATCACATGCACATTTTAAGGCGGTTAGCCTTATTAATTTTGTGACATCGTCATCATTACGATTTCCTTTGTATTTTATATGCTGAAGAAACTTATGGAGGAGTTGCTTGTAGCGTTTCTAGAAATCAAAGTAATGTATTCGGTTTAAGACACCATCCCAGACGATCAATGTATAACTTTACGCATATTTGTTAAATATTGGCGAATATTTATATCAATATTTATATTGATAATTATGCATGTCGCGCGCGCGCTGTAAAATAGGGCTGTGATATAGAGATTATGTATAGGTAAAAGAGAATGTATAATAGTTAGATTTGTAGACAAAGGCGGGAGAGAAGTGTAAGAGTGTGAATGAATTAAGTATTTCTGTAAAGTCCCCTTTTTGTATACTGCTTGTATATTGAAGTATAAATAAATTCTATTCTATTCTATTTTATGTTCGTTTTTTACTATTACTATTTTTATTTTTTTAATATTATAAGCCATTGCTATATGAAAATGTCATTTTTGTATATTAAAAAAAATCTGCTTCAATTATATTACGTGCAAATAATATAACTTTTCTACATATTAGCTTTTAAAAAAAATGCAAATTTAAGATTAAATCAATTTATGTACTACGAAAAGAAATTAGGATTATTCATAATATTTTATATAACTTGAATATTATATACCTTGACATGTTTCATTTCTGGCAGTAAGAGAGGCTTCGATATAGTTTGTAAAATATCTAACAATGGTTGCCATGCTACACCATTTGTATCTCGCTTGAGGTAATTTATCAGTTGAAGATATAAATAACCATTTATTCGATTATCTATTACCATGGCATGCGAATCAGCAATGATTTGAGCACGATTAAGAACGTGTATATTCACATATTCATTAGTATTTAAGTAATGTGAAATTTTTTCCCAATTCCTGATATCGTAATTAACACGATAGTAGCCTGTTATATTATTCATTGTATGTATTATTAAGTTTTTTTAATTAATTTGAATTTATCAAGATATATTTCCAAATATCCGTTTTTAACTTTTTTTTTAATGTAATACACAATGTAATATATATTATATACTAATATTACAACAAAATATATCAGTTATGGATTCTAATCATTTTATATTAATTATAATATTTATATTAATTATAATATTCACAATTTTGAAAAATTAAATACAATACATAAATTTCTTTTAAGCTCTTATAAATAAAAAAATACATGCAAATATATTTAATAAAAACGATGTAAATAAAATAAAAAGATTAAATTTTTTTATATATACTTACCACTAAGTTGCAAATTAACAATAATCCAATCATCTGAGTTAATTATAAAGCTTATGTTATGTTGATCTGGTCGTAACCAATAACGAGGTACAGTATTGGAAAAATCTGGATTAGATTGTGTAGCGAAAGTTATAGGGATCCACCATTTAGTAGTTTTATTCTCAGTCTCACCATATTGCCGAACACATGTTTGTGATATTGTTACTTCGCCAGTTTCGTAATTTCGCTCCACATGTACAAGAGGATAACGTTCTTGATTCATCCAAGTATCCATCACTTCTTTTATTGTATAGTTTTCGTGAGGGATATCAGATTCGTTTAGAGCACTTTGCATGGCGCTCCACAAATCGTTCGGAATGGCTGTGCTAAATTGACTATAAATTTAACAAACATAGAATATTGTATATTGACTATTAAAGAATTTAAGGGAATATTTAATATAATCGGATATATAGATACATGTAAAAACTTATTATATCGTTTCAAACTAACATATATTAAACATATATTAAATTATAATTGAATAAAAACGTAAAAAACTCTATTTCTAATACGTTTTTATTTATATAGTTAACATTACATACATTATAAAAATTCATATAAAAATACAAAAATACAAATACAAAATGTTTTTTCAAAACATTCTGAAAGTGGACCAAAACCTATAATTAAACAACAATAATCGAGTGAATAACAATAATATAAATTCTGATGATGTTATATATAGTATTATAAATATTAGATAGAAGTATTATTATACTTATAATATTTAATATTATGACATATAATAATAATGTAATGCTATAATAAATATACTTACTGTTTGACCAAATATGTAATAAGACCCTTTCGAAATACCTCAGCGGTAATTGTATTATATAACATGCGTAATAAAATTGGCGCTGTGATAATATACATCATAAAATATCAATTAATAATATAATAATTTAAAGTAGATACATTTAAAATACGTAATAAATACATGCTATGTAGAAAGATGCATTACGTTAAAAGTATTTGTTGGCTGATAGCCATCTGTTTATCTTTTTCTTTGTGCTATACACATTAAGATTAAAGAATCTATAAACAGCGGTTTAATTTTATTTTTACGTTATCTTACATTTGTTATAAATTTCAGTAGCATAACGTGACGGAAATTCATCTACAGTATCACCAAATGAAAACTTCAATGTGACAGAATTCAATGAACCTGTATCTTGAAGTAAGCATCGTTGTATGTCCTCTATGTCCAATAGATACATTATTGGCAATTTGAAAATCTGAAGAAAAAAAAGATATTTTGAAGTGACTAAATATTAAAAATTCTGAAAAACTTGCATAGAAAAAAACTAATTTACTATTTTCAGAAACAATGCTATTTTACATTTTATAATACGTAAATTATATTAACTCTTTCGTTTATTATTTTCTAAGAAGAGAGAGAGAGAGAGAGAGAGAGAGAGAGAGAGAGAGAGAGAGCAATATCTCATTTACCTAATCATTTCTAAAAATATTGGAGATTATTTAATATGAAAATAACATTACTTAATATGAAAATAAAATTGAGATATAAAAATACAAAATGTTGAATTTTATTATTTATTTTCTTAAATACTGCAGCGGATGCAGAAAATAAAATATTCATGAATTTTAATAAATATATATAATAATATTATTAAGTGAAATCCTAAATATGAAAGAATAATAATGTTTAAATAAAAAAATTAAAATAACGAATCTTTGTAAGATACGATAATTATTTATAATATCTGTCAGAGATTATTTAATATGAAAATAAAAGTAAGATATGAAAATTCAAAATATTAAATTTTATTATTAATTTCTAAATGTAACAAATGCAAAGAATAAAATATTTTCGAATTATAATAAAATAATTATATATATAGTTTTATGATTTCTAAATATGAAAGTAATGTTCAAATATAAAAAAATGTTGAAATAGCAAATCTTTAATTCAACAAACATAAAAGCAAATATTGTTTCTAATAAGAATTTATATTAAAATTTTTATAATCCGTTTCAGTAAACGTATTACGAGTTTTTTAAACTAAAGCATGCGTTATGCGCATTTAGTTCCATCTTGATATATTTTACAAAGATATTATTTAATTGTATTTAATTGATATTATCTTACACTGAAAAGATTGATTTATTTTTATTTGAAAATGACAAATCAGAAAATTCTGATTTAATCAATCGGAATTCCGGTTATCTCAACTATATTTTATATAATAATAGATTTAAGAAAATTTTCTCAGGGTAATCTTAGAATAAAATGTACTATAAAATCTTTCTTTCAACAAACAACCTTGCATTAATAATATTCAATAACCTTTTTGACTACGATTTTTTGGATAAACGAAGCAATTCCTTCACTTAACCATAGGTAAGACCACCAAGCTGGAGTGACTAAGTTGCCAAACCATTGAAGTACAAGTTCATGTGTTATAAACATTGTTATTGAAATTTTCCCATATATTGAATCCTTCTTTTTATCATAGATAAGATTTGAATAACTGAAATAATGTGATATAATTATGTAAAATGTCATTGAACGTGCAGTCTAATGAGTTAAGTCTGAGTTAAGTCTCTCTAATTA